CACATTGCACTTTTGCCACTTACTTTATCTGGTCCATGAAATTTAACAGGTCACACTTTAGGGAGTACTGTAAACTCCTGAGAAGTTGCAAGATAGTATAAGTCACTGAGGTCACAGGAATCTACAGGCCTTCAGGAGATAGCCTAAAGTAGCTTCAGTAAGTACCATTAGCTAAAGTAGCTTCAGTAAGTACCATTTGGTGCCCCCACCTAGCCGAACTGCGCCCTATCCATGGCGGAACTGCATACTCCACAAGTATGGCCCCACGGGAGCTGGCATTGCTTTCAGGTGATTGTGACGAATCTGATCCTGTAATATAAGAGAAGCATTGTCATCATGGGGAATGCCTCGAAGGCACATTCCACGTTGACTGCGTGGGCGGAGTCGGGTCTAGCATTGTTTCTCAAGGGCAGCAAGTTCTTTCTTATACGGTGAAAGTGCAGTGCCGTGCGCTTTTGTAACAAGAAGACTCATCGTTATCTGGCAGACGGTCTTTGGCATTTACTGCACTTTGTTCGACCGTCTGGGAATGTGAGCAAATCGTAACGAATTTACGAAGTGTACTCTCATAGTACAGTCACAAGAGCAATGGGCGTGCGGCTTGGGAGGGGCATTTTGCACTTTCGCTAGTTTCTCTTGTTAATTTCTGTTAACTTGCACGTTTTGGGTTGGTGACACCTGTAGGCTTTGTCAAGTGTAAATGAAGCTTGTGCTATTCCACAGCTCAACAGGAGTTACAGTTCTCCACAGGTGGCATCGACGTAAGCGATGGAAACCAGCAAAATGCCCCCACCAAGCCGAACAGCGCCGAGAAGTGTTGTGGAGAAGGTGTCGCGAAGAATTCAATTGATAGTAGGCACACGGACGCATTCCAATGATGTCATGACAAAAACTTTAACAGGATGGATCATTCGAAGTTCCGCTGGCGCTAATAACTTTGGAGGGAGTATTTAAAAGACTCCTCTTAGTTGGGAGTGATGTCATCCTAATGAAGTTCCTTGGAATCTGCTCCTCCTCTTAATTTGAAATGCTTGTAATCGGTCCCAGAGCCGCTTCCTCCTTTGTGGAATGTGTGGAAGTCCTTATCTTTATTAGAAGCATTCAAGTTTTGCTCAGGAGATCCTATGAATGCCCCCTGCAACGTCCAGTGCGCAGTTCTATTTTCATTTCAGTATGCTGAGTGAGGAAGCATCGAGAACACGAGCTTACTGGCACATCGCCATTGAAGGGTTCGAAAAGGAAGTGTTCACTGAAAGATGGTAAATGTTCACAATTTTCTTCAGGCCGGATATGACCTCCTTTGAAAGCGATGAGAACGGCCCCCTCCCACCCGAAGGGGTCTTCAAAGTTGTGGGTAGCGAGGATGGAACAGGAAAAATGCACTATCAAAAGAAATGTTTACAAAGCTGACCCTCCCCCCTTCAACATCTGAAACGAGCCCACTAGCTTGGAATCCCCACCGAAAGATGTGCCCTGCCTGGAAACGGTGCTGCATGTTCGGGCACATCGACCGTGACTGTTGCTATGACTGTTTGTTGTGTCTACTGTGTCTTTACTTGTACTTTTCAGTCTGTA